CACGGCTGACAAGACAGAGTCTCTGTGTCTCATGGATGATTCTAGAATCCAGCGTGGAATATAGAAAAATAAACAGGCAATCACAGCCCAGTAGAAACAGCGGAATAACATCTTCTAATAATGAGAACAAAAGTGGGGTTGATATTCACTACCTCATTCTTTCAACTATCCTTTGAGCCAGGCATTAATATGCATTCGATTTTACTGAAAAACCTTGAGGCTTAGTCAACCTTGAAGTTCATACATTTAGTAAGTAGACAATTGGAATCGGAACCCTGGCCTGGAATTTGGATACTATCTGTGCAGCCCTAGAACTCTACCACTTGACTTTGACATTAATTGGTTGCTATGAAAAAACATGGCGGTGGGAATGGGCATTTAACTTAGTCTTGAGAGACCCAGAGGGAAGTCATGGAAGGCTGTTTAAGGGAGTCATAATACTGCAAAGGATAAGGTCTGAAGAATGAGATATACATGGTTCTGAAACCTGACAATTTCAACTTTCTAGTCTGAGAGAAATATTTATATTCTCAGCCTCAACTGCCTTATCTATTAAAAAAGATAAGGCTAATATTACCCCTATTTCAGAGTTATTAGAATGAAATGAGATAGCATGTGTGGCCAGGGCTTGGCATTAGGGATTAGCATTAGAATGGCATATAGTAAATGTTTCTTTTCTATTTGGTTCCAAGAAATTATATTCTGCACTTCTGGTGTACCGTGGAACATGTGAACTGCATTTACCCTAAAGCCATGGGACAACTCAGATAGTTTAAAGTGAGAGTTTAGGTTATTTATTCTAATTTATATTAGTACTAACCCTAATATTTCCTTGGTTATTTTGGGTATTTCATTTATCTACTTGCTTAACAACTCATTCAACTATTACTGGATATATCTTAAGATAAACATTCCTGGAGGAAAAAAAGATGTTTGGCTATTTCTCAGAAATAACAGAGCCTGAAAAGAGCATTTATCAAAACAACTCAATTTAAAAAAAACTTTGTGACTGGCTGCTGGATTAAAAGAAGACGTGAGTCTAAAACATGGTCCGTTTACTAACTGTTTCTCAAGCTCACAGTCATTTGTAACGTTCTTTGAAAAAGTGTGTACTTTATGATAGAATGATTTCCAGATGTCAGAAGCCCCTCTTCTCCACGGCACTTAATTAAACATTAGACACTGTTGAAACAAACAGAGGCAATTGGATTAGGATAAATGAAGGTACTGCTGGGACTTCAGGAAGAATGTCCCCTAGCAAAGTTCATCATCTTTCTCATCAAACTCTATTCCTCTCTGTGTCACATCTCGGCTGATGGCACAGCACCATCCTCTTTTTTATTTTAAAAAAATTATTAATTTAATTTTATTTATTATGATTTTAATTTGCTATAGGGCACATGTACTCACCAGAGAGAGAAAGGGAGAGAGACAGAGAGAGAGAGAGAGAGGAAGCTGCCAGGTCCAGGACTTGAACTGCAGTCAACCATGTGGGAGTCCAGCACCTTAACCACCATGGCATTGCCATCACCATCCTTTTTTTTTTATAAGATTACATTTAATCACATATATCTTTACAGTGTATAACATTTCTTTTTTCAGCACAATTACCATGCATATCAGACAAGACAAAGACATTACTATATGTATCAGAAGCAGCAAAGAGCTTTGTATCTTTTTTATCAATTAAATATACTTTTTTTTTTCCTCCATCACCATCCTTTTAATTACTCAGGCTAAAAACTTTGAGCAGTATTTGCCTCCTCTATGTATCAACTCAGTCTAGTAGGCAGAATTTCTAACACAGTCTCCAAGACCCTGCCCTGAGGTAACATTTCCCTGAGTGTGGGAGGGCTCTGCCAAGAGGTCGATGTCCCTTCAGTCTATGGCAAAGCTAGAGGGATTTTACAGATGTAATCAAAGTCCCCAATCAGATGATGTTGAATTAATCAAAGGGGATTATCCCAAGCCTGACTTAAATCATAGGAACTCTTTTTCTCTTCCTTCCTTTTCTTCCTTTCTTTTTCTTTCTCTTCCTCACTCTCCTTCCTTCCTTCCTTCCTTTCTTCTCTTGCTCCTTCTTTTTTAATTGCCACCGGGTGTGTATGCTCCCCCCAACATACACAGAAAAGGTACCCCTCAAAGAGCATGGTCATGCCACAATCCTTTTTCCTCCATTTTGCTCTGCTGTTAGGATTTGGGGCATGCACGCACACTTGCCTAGCATGCTTTACACTTAACCATCAAGGTTCTAGGTGAGCCCTTCACAAGAGGGCTTTAGCCTCCCTGAGCTCAGAGACTCAAAGCAGCAGGGGTTCGGATGGCCTAGGAGTGACAAACTGCAGTGTTGTGAGAGGTGGAAAGACGTGAGAAGGCCTCTGAGCGTGTTCCCAGTTGAGAGCTCTCCAGAAAATGGGGAGGCCAGTCATACAACCACAAACGGATGGATATTGCCAATAATTCACACTATTATTAACTAGGTATCAGCTAGTTCTTCCCAGGTGAGGCCTCCAGATAGGAACATAGTCCTAGCTGATACATTGACCTCAGCCTGTGAGACCCTTATGTGTCTTGATTTAAGTGACTACCTTTACGCTAATTTATGATACAGCATGGAAAATGAACCACTTAGGATTTCTTAATGCTTGCCTCCCTGTGTCTTTATCAATCCCCTTTTCTTTGTTAGCATTGGCCTACTCAGGTCCTGTATCTCTCAATTGAATTCATACTGGCTTTCTAATTTTTTTTTAAAATTTTGGCCAGAGGATGTGTGTACTCGCTGGGGAAACAGAGAGAGAGAGAAAGTGAGTAAGCAAACCTGCATGGGTGATGGTCACACCACAATCCCTTCTCTCCATCTCTTCCTCCTTTGGGGATTATGGGCACACACATATCTGCCCCAGATATTTCTCAAGCCACCAGGTCTGGAACTTGATGGTGCAGTTGGCCAAGTGAGATCCAGCCACCCTAACTACCACACTGCAGACTAGTTAGAACTCATACTTTTCTAACTACTGTCATTTTCAAAGGAAATGCTTCTCAAAGGAAAGTCTCTGCTGCTATATTTTGCCTTCCAGAAACACACTCCCTGTCATGTCTTCCTTTTAGAAAACATTCATTCCTATCAATTTCCTCCACAAGCGAGGGTGATAGCTTAGTCATTCTGGCTGTGGGTTTTGGAATTAGAGAGCTGTGGATGGGACTGTAAGTTCTTTTTTTCTTTTCTTTTTTTTTTTTTTTTCTGAGAGATTTTTAGCTATAGGGCACATGCACTCACCAGAGAGACAGCGACAGAAAGATAGAAAATGAGAAATGACCCCTGAGGGGGATGGCCCTGTCACAATCCCTTCTCCTCTCTTCTGCTCTTGGGATCTTGGGCATGCACACACATGTGCCCTATGTGAGTTTAAGTCACCGGGACCAGGACTCAAACTGTCAATTATGTGGGAGTCCAGCGATGTAATCATTATGCCATCTGCTGGTCCCTAGGAATCTAAGTTCTAACTCAGTTGACTTATGAACTTGGACACATTAATAAACCTTTTTTAAGCTTCAGTTTGTAATATGCAGATCATAAATTGATTTTCCTCCTTGGATCTTGTGAGAATTCAGTGAGCTAATGCATGAAAGGGTTATGTTATATAGCATGTGCTCAATAAATAGTAGCTATGGCACTGGTTATTATAGAACTATTAGAGAATTTGCATAAATTCAAACTCTTTATTCTGGTATCCAAAGCCATTGATCACCTGCAATAGCTTTTTCAGCCACATCTATACATTTCTCCAAATCTTATGAATCATCCATTTCAGTGTATCAATGAACTTAAAGTTCTTGGTAACATTATGCAATCATTTTCTGTCCATGTATTTTCTTCCCTTAGAGTTTTTGTTCTCTGCCATTCTACACTTATCTAAATTCCACTAATCTTTTGAGGCTCAGTTCTTCTGAGACCTGCCCTCTCAGTAGGGCTAGCTTTCAGCTGCCCTCACTAATATCACTGTACTATCTATTCCAAAGTGTCAGAGACCCATTCTGATTTGTTGTGCCCTATAAATTGTTCCCTATTTGTAACAAACAGACCTAAAACCTTTCCCTTTTTTTTAAAGAATAATTTTATTTCACTTTATTTATTATTATTATTTTCCAGTTTGATCAGAGACAGAGAAAGAGAGAGAGGGAAAGTGAGAAAGCAAGCCACCAGGTCCAGGACTTGAACCGTGGTCAGTCATGTGGGAGTCCAGCGCCTTTCACCACTACACCAACTGTCAGCCCCCCTTTCCCTTTCTTTGATAGCTCAACTCAGAGTTATTGTTTCATCTCTTTTTGCTTCTGCAGTCATTTTCTTGCACCTGCTTTTGGTATTTCAAACTATGTTTTGAACTCTAACCTGCTCACGTATTGTGTGGCTTGCTACACCGAAAGAAGGGATCACCTTTATATTCCTAGTCCACCTGGCACAGAAGTACACAAATCCTTGGGATCAACAGGTGGTGTGGTGGTTACGGGCGCTGGACTCCCACATGGCCAACCGTGGTTTGAGTCCTGGACCTGGCGGCTTCTTTTCTTACTTTCTCTCTCTCTCTCACTCTGTCCTTCTCTGGTTAAATAAAAATAAATAAATAAAGTTAAATAAAATAATTATTTTTTAAAAATCTGAGTAGTCAAATCCTTGTTGGATGATGAAGAATTTGTTCCATTGACCTCCCTGTCAGTCCTCAGAAGGATGAAGCAAACTTTTGTAAAGGGTAATAATATCTACTAATGGTTACGTGGCTTTATGAACTTATTTGCCTTAAATAATTACATGTCCTACCCAAGAAAGCATCTAAGTAAACTACATATGTTTTATAAAGCGCAATAAATCTATAACGATTTAGAAGACCAATTTATTTAAATGAGTCTGTCTCTATCCCCGTGCATACTTCTGGGTCAGAATACTGTCAGACCCTCGCTATTATAGCAAGTATTTTCATGCCAAGCAATTGCGGTCATGATGCTGGAAAAAGTCTTGAGACGCCACCTTGTCTGTGGACCTGGAGACTTGAGTCCAAGTGTGCTCTTGCTGGAGAGAGACAGAGAGAGAGAGAGACAGTGAGAGAGCAGCCCCCCAGGGGGATGGTAGCCGTGTTCCCCTTTTCTTCTAACCTGTCATTTGATACACGCTCTCTTTGCCTGGCTTCCTCTTCCCCGTCCAGGCGAGGACCATTCTGGCTGGACAATACAGACCTCAAACAGAAATATCATAACTCTACCTTCTCTTAGTTATCTGGGAACTTTGCATAGGTGTTCCCAAAGAACAGGTGAATTCTGTCCCTCACAATGCAGCTGAAGAAGTCTTTTCATCTTTAGAAATATAACTAATTTCACTCTGATCTCTGGTCTTTAAAGCTCTATTTTTAAAAGCTCATGGTGGCCTCTATGTTTGCTCTTCATCATATCCTCCTTTATTGCATCTTCGAATCATTTTAAATCGGAGCTAGACCAGTGTGCTTTCTCCTGATCTCTTACTTCGTTCTTGGAATTTCAGCCATAAAATACTATATATAACAAGGGTGCATGTGGTGTGGGTGTTTAAAAAGGCTTACTATGTGCCAAATTCAGTGCTAGGTGTTTTTACATACATTTTCTTCGTTAATTTTCCCAGTAAGTCTATGTAGTGTATATTATTACTGTTTTTTTTTAATTTCAGACAATTTAATTTAGCGAAGTTTAATTGAGCAAAAAGTGATTTGAATTGGGCAGCCCCCAGAACGGCTTTCAAGGAACTCATGTGGTAGGGTGATGCTTAGGCACTGAAAGGGAAAGTGATGGCCAAAGAACAGAAGTGAGGGGATGAGGTAGAGAAATAATTGGATTCGTCACAGCTTGATATTAGCCTGTAGGAACAGTTTAAAGGGTGGGCTGTCTGTGATTCACTGAGCTGTGGCTGCAGTGGTTGGCTGTAACAGCGATTCATTAAGGAAGCGGACTTCCAAGGGAGGTTGCGGTTTGCTTATGGAACTGAAGTAGGGATATGGAGGCCTTTCCAGGGCAGTGAAGTTTAACATTACTGTCCCTGTTTGATTCAAATAAAAACACAAGCTTAGAGAGGTGAAGTGATTTTCTCAGGAAGTTTGTGCGCTCCGTATGTCCTTACTTGACAGAAGAGAACCCTTGAGATCTCGAGGTTACCATTTCACTCCATGTCACACAACTAGCAAGTCTTACGCTTGGAGTCCAAGCTTGCATGCTTCTGGAGTCTGGAGTCCCTGCTTTTATGCTCTGTGCTATCACTCCCTCTTTTCCTTTGAAGCTTTTGACATCTGCCTTCTTAAAGTCTTCAACACACATCAGCCTCTGTCCTATATTTCATTTCCTCATTACAGACTCCAGGAAGACTTGATAACCATTCAGTTCATCTTTGTTAGACAGACGTTTGCCCCAAATGGCAATCTCTTTGCCGTGTCTTCTGTAATTTTAGAGATGATTTGTCAGTCAGGTAAGTAAAACCATTGTTAACAGCTTTACTTTCAGCTGTGACTTTCAGCAGGTCTCAAGAGAGCTGAGGTTTCCCATAAACATTTCCTCTATGCTAGTTGTCATCGAGGCAGCCCATTATTTGAACATGATAGTTCCCAGAGACTCTGCAGGAAATTAGATGTGCAGATATTGAACAATGGACTTGGGTATTATAATGGAGGATTCCATTACAAGAAGAACAAAGAACATATACCACAACTTTTAGGGAAAAGTTTATACATTTTCTTTAATGTTATTCTCTCTCTCTCTCTCTCTCTCTGTGTGTGTGTGTGTGTGTAGGATGAGGAAGGTAAAGTCTTCAACACACATCAGCCTCTGTCCTATATTTCATTTCCTCATTACAGACTCCAGGAAGACTTGATAACCATTCAGTTCATCTTTGTTAGACAGACGTTTGCCCCAAATGGCAATCTCTTTGCCGTGTCTTCTGTAATTTTAGAGATGATTTGTCAGTCAGGTAAGTAAAACCATTGTTAACAGCTTTACTTTCAGCTGTGACTTTCAGCAGGTCTCAAGAGAGCTGAGGTTTCCCATAAACATTTCCTCTATGCTAGTTGTCATCGAGGCAGCCCATTATTTGAACATGATAGTTCCCAGAGACTCTGCAGGAAATTAGATGTGCAGATATTGAACAATGGACTTGGGTATTATAATGGAGGATTCCATTACAAGAAGAACAAAGAACATATACCACAACTTTTAGGGAAAAGTTTATACATTTTCTTTAATGTTATTCTCTCTCTCTCTCTCTCTCTCTGTGTGTGTGTGTGTGTGTAGGATGAGGAAGGTGGAAGTCAACATGTTTCTTTCTTTAATTGTGATAGAGCACATGTGTGTGCACAGCAGAGTGAGATCCAGAGAAGGAGAGAGAGAGGGGTACTCTCCACAGGGTTTAGTCATGCTGTGATCCCCTTCTTCAGTCCTCCAGGCTGTCAGACTGTGAGTTTCAGGTTGACCAGGTGGAGATTCAAACTGTGGTTACCATGTAGACTCCAGATCCTCTTGAAGACAGCATTACTGCTGTGCTACAGAGCTGTCCTTACGTTAGTCTTCTCTACAATGAAGCATGAACCTGGCAGCTTGATCCCAGTGACCTCATTTGATGGCAAAGGATCTGCTATTTTTAACTCAGCTAATGACTTCAATCTTGGTTTTAACCGTAATAAGCTTAGGGGAAATATCTTACTACTAGCATTGGTACATTCATCTTTTAAAAAACATTAATTTCTTCCATAAACAAGAGAGACAGAGACGATACCCCCAACAGTGCCTTGATACTGCAGTTCCCCACTCCCCACCCCCCGCCCCAGTTCCATCCAGCACTGGGTCACAGTATGTGTGTGGTGGCAGGTAGTGCTATGCTCAGTCAGGGAGGGCTCTAGATAGGAACCCGGAACTGTCCCATGTGGGTCAGCATCACAGAGCATCATATTTTACCACTGCAGCACTGCCAGCCCCATGCTCATCTTTTTATTCCCCTTCCTATTTTATAAGGTAACTATAAAGATGCAACAGAATCCTTGAATTATGCAATTATTGTATTACTGTACTGAGGGCAGAAGCAGGTATATCACTGTACCACTTGGCCAACAATGGGACAGTGTCATTCCATGACAGCTTGAAACACTTACTTATAAGTTCATGGATGAATATAAAAATTCCACATATGAAAGCAAGTTTAGGGATCTCAGTATGTACTTATAAAAATTCAGGGATGGGGGCCAGCAGATGGTGTGGTGGTTAAGGCACTGAACTCTCATGGGGCTGACCATGGTTCAAGTCCTGGACCCCATGGCTTGAAAATCACACTAGGCACATGTGCATGCATGTCCAAAATCCCAAACAGAGAATGGAGGAGAAGGGATTGTGACCATCTGCCTTGGAGAGTGATTTCTCACTTTCCCTTTCTCTGGTTTCTGTCTTACTCTAAGAAGTACCCATGTCCTATGGCAAAAACATCTTAAAGCAAAAAATCAAAAACTCAGGGATGCCACAATATTTTAAGAAGACAACTTCTATCTGATTTAATTGGCATGGCATACTTTCATAACTATCAGCTGTTTCTTATTTTATCCTCACCTAAATTGTCCAGTATGCCTTTAGCTCCAAGTTTAAGAATTTCTACTAATATTTATACCTTATTTACAACTGAATTTTCCTCCTTTTATGTTAAATCCACTTCTTTTCCGCAGAAATCCCCTTTAGTTGCCTGTATTTTTTCCTAAAATGTCTTTCTTTCTCTCTTCCACAGACAAGAGAAACAGAGAAAGAGAGAGGGAGATATATATGTAGAGAGAAACAGCACCCTAGCAAGGTCTTCATGCCATAACCCACCCTAGTCTTAGTCAGTCCCAGATCATGGACACACATATCTCCAGCATGTTCCATGAGGTCTCCAGACATGAACCCAGAACCTTCCCACGTGGGTCAGCCCGGCAGAGCTGAAGCACTGTCTGGCACCATGTGTCCATATTCTTGGCCTGAATTACACCAAAGGTCAGGAATAAGTTATTGTTACTTTATTTTTTTTTCAAATTTTATCCATTGTCATTATTTTATTTCATTTTAGTTTTTAAAGTTGACCAGAGAGAGACAGAAAGAGAGAGGGAAAGTGAAAAAGCAAGCTGCCAGGTCCAGGACTCGAACCATGGTCAACCATGTGGGAGTCCAGCTGCCTTAACCACCACACCACCTGCTGGCCCCTTGTGACTTTCATATATATACATATGTAAAATTTTGCCAGAGGGTATGTCTGCTTGATGGGAGAGAGAGAGAAAGAGAGAAAAAGTACCTCCCATGGGGAATGACCATACCACAATCTCTTCTCCTCTATCTCTCCCTCTTCTGGGAATTTTGGGCACACACACACTCCTGGCTTATCTTTCAAGCCATCAGGTCCAGGATTTGAACTACATAATTGGCTATGTGGGATCTGGCTGCCTTCACCACTACACCATGGGCTGGTCCTAATTTCTTTCATCAAAGTATCAACTTCACCTTTGTTATCTATCTTGGTGAAGTTTCTTTATTCGCAATGAACAGAAATTTACTGAAATTAGCTGAAGCAAATGAAGAATTTCTTGGAAGGGAACAGTGGTAGCTCAGTAAGCCCAAGGATAAGTTGAAGTTGAGACTTTGGAGGGTCTGGGCCTGGCCCAAGAGCTGAGATAAAGAAGCAAAGAAAGTAGGTGTTGTCTGTGTCTTCTAAAGGGTTAAGTCTATTCCTTGTACAGGAGCCAAAGGCAATTCGTCATTCTTGTAATGGATAGATAAGGGACCCCATGAGTCACTCTTCTATTACCGTTATAGATACTTATTGCTATTTTTGTTCATTTTCCATGTTTCACAACCCCCCCCCTAGTTTACCAGGTAGGCATAGTGCCATGGACACAGTAGATTCTGAGCAAGTATTTGTTGAATGAATAAATGTTCTAACTCACCTTTAGAGTTAGAACACATTCCTTCTTGGATATGGAGGGATGTGACAATGGTGTCTGTCCTTCCATTGACCGATTATGCACACCAGGGTTGCCCGGGTAGAACTGATTTAGCTGATATGACATTTTCTCTCTGAGTTTCTTGCAGATTTTCCACCTAAAGTATGAAAGTCATGAGAGATCAAATAACACTATTTCAGAATAATTATCTTAGAAAACCATTTGACTGGTTTTCTTTTGAAGATAGACTTCCTAATTTGAAAAGTTTTATTTTTTAAATAATTGAATAGTTTGAATTAATTAAGGCCTAAGTTAAGGGAATCAGTGCAAGAATAGACTTCATTTAAAAATTTTTTTGCACCAGTTATATTTCTACTTGGGTACTAGAAACTCTATGCTTTAAGATATCCTTAATGTTGGGCTAGACCCATAGTGGTTAAGTCCTGTGCATAAGAGAACCAGATCCCACATGGCTGACCATGGTTCAAATCCAAGTTCTGGTAGCTTGAAAAACATACTGGGAGTGTGTGTGTGTGTCTGTGTGTGTGTGTGTGTGTGCATGTCCAAAATTTTGATGGACTGGAAAAATGGAGGAAAAGCAATTGTGGTGTAACCATGTCTCACTGGGTAATGTTTTCTTTCTCTCCACCCCACCTCCCTACCCCAGCAAGTGCACATACCCTCTGGTAATTGAAAAAAAATTTCATGTGGTGGGTTGGGTTAATGAAAAGCTGGAGGAAACAGTAGAATGTTCCTTGGCAAAATTTTCCTGTACCAGATCTCCCTTGCTCCTAACTGAGGCTTCTCCCCTTTGTTGTTCCTGCCAGGTTTGACCTCTGGACTCTGATTCTGGAACTCTGTCATTTCCCAGTCCTTTTCCCCAGTTATTGGGAGAAGGGACTCAGCAAGTCCTTTTTGATTGCCAACCAAACTCTTGGAATCCTTTTACCAACAAATTTGGTTTGTTTTTCTAGTATTTATCATTTAATATCTCTTGGCATCCCCTTGTGAAAATATTAATTAATGACCCTATCACATGATTAAGCTCCATCACCCATATCACAAATTAAGGATTCCTAATCACGTACTCCTGTCCTACAAGGGTACAGTATTAATCATTAGTATATTTCCAAGCCTGGGTCTTTGTATCTACTTTATGGAGATATAGACTCATTTATTATTGTTATCCTCAGTGATGAAGTTACCTTATTATTTCTGGCCAACATTATAAAATGCTTGAGAGTAAAAGGAAGTATAATTAACAAGTACTCTAGAAGAACAGGTGCACATCAGGATTGCCCTCTGTAGACTGGGGCCATTGTCACCCTAATCATTAGTGATTATCTGGTTTCTCTAGGAAACTACTATGGTTCATTGAGAATCATTTATTCTTCTTCACGTGCTTAAATATCTCTCTGGGTCAACGAGTAGCATGGTGGCTAAGGAGGCTGTATCCCACATGGATATAAGTCCTCTATCAGGTATACAATTTGGAAATAACATTTCTCACTTTGTACCATTGTTTCCATTCTCTTTACAGGTGCCTTAATAGAGTGACATTTTATAATTTTTAGATAGTATCTCTGCTATCTTGTACCTTCTGGGCAGCTTCATGGCTGTGAATCTCCCCGAGCTAGGGCCCCTCCCATAGACCTCAGAGCTAGCCAGGTAGGAAAAGATCTGTATCTCCCTCTTGATTTTTTCTGTCCCTTCCAACTTTTTTTCCTCTTTAAAACAAAACAAAACAAAACAAAACAAAACAAAACAAAACAAAACAAAACAGCTTTCCTGTCTCCTTCTTTGTGCTTTCAATTTGCTAATTTCTCTCTCTTTCTCTCACCCAGGACAGAATCTGTCCAGGCACCTCCATCTCTGCTGTCCTGTACTTTTACACAGCACACGAGCATGCCATGTGGTTTTCACTTTTTAACCCAGTTTTATTTTCTGTGATGTGTTTTTTTCTCCTCATCTCCAAGTAGGGAAAAAATTAGAGGAAATTACCAAAATATCAGAAAAAAAAATTTAGAACATGTATGGTAATGAAACTCCATGAGATGCAAGAGAAAAGAGACATTGAGTTCCAAGAGATTAGGAAGTCCTTCCATGATATGAAAGAAGAATTGGACACCATAAAAAAGAATCAAGCAGAACTGTTAGATATAAAGGCTGTAACACAGGAAGTCAAAACCTCCCTTGAAAGTATTAAAAGTAGGTTAGGCCATGCAGAAGATCGAATCTTGGAAGTAGAAGACAAAACCCATGACCTAGAAAAAAATATCAAAAATACTGAGAAAACAGCCAAGACAACTGAGGATACTATACGAGAAATACTAGATACCATAAAATGCTCAAACATCTGAATAATTGGTATCCCAGAAGGTGAAGAAACTAATAAGGGCATTGATAATCTGTTCCACAAAATTCTGGAAGAAAACTTTACAAGTCTAGAGAGGCACTCAAACATCCAGACCCAAGAAATGTAAAGAACCCCAAGTAGAATCAATCCAAGAAGATCCTCTCCATGACACATCATAGCTAAATTGGCCAAAACCACAGACAAAGATAAGATACTAAGATTGGCAAGAGAGAAACATCAAATCACTTACAAAGACTATCGCATCAACTAACAGCAGACCTCTCATTGGATACAATGCAAGCAAAGAAAGATTGGAGAAATATATTCAAGGTGTTCAATGAAAAACAATTTCAACCAAGAATAATATATCCAGAAAGATTATCCTTCATACGGGAAAAGAAGATAAAAACATTCTCAGATAAACAAAACCTGAAAGAATTTACCAACTCCAGACCAGTTCTTCAAGAAATTCTGAAAGGAATACTATACCAAGAAAACTAAAGAGAGACAGACAGCAATAAGAGAACAAAAAACATTACTCAGTATGTGGCCAACTTAATGGTAGAGACAAGCCTGGAAATATCGATAATAATATTGATTGTTAATAGATTAAATTCTCTTATCAAGAGACACAGACTGGCTGAATGGATTAAAAATCAGAAACCCTCCATCTGACACCTACAAGAAACCCATCTCATGGATAAAGACATACATAGACCAAAAGTGAAGGGCTGGAAAAATGTATTTCATGCAAATGAAAACCAAAAAAGAGTGGAGTCGCTATACTGATTTTGTACAAAATAGGCTTTAAGACAAAACCAGTAAGAAGAGACAAAGAAGGGCATTGTATAGTAGTAAAGGCTAATTCACCAAGAAGATACCACACTTATAAATATCTATGCACCTAATTTAGGAGCACCCAAATGTGCAAAGGAAAGACCACTAAATCTAAAAGGAGACATCGACTCTAACACAATAATTGTTGGCAATCTCAACACCCCATTATCTCCTTTAGACAGGTAAACAAGACAAAAAATAAGCAGAGAGATTCGGGACTTAAATGATACCATAAATCAGATGGACTTGATAAACATCTATAGAACTTTCCACCCCCGAAACACAAAATACACATTTTTTTCATCCCTGCATGGTATTTTCTTGAAGATTGACCACATGATAGGGCACAAAATCAGCCTTTATGAATTCAAAGGCATAGAAACTATACCCAGCATCTTCTCCAACCATGATGGAACTAAACTTGATATTAATCTCATAAAAAAACCCTAAAAAATACATGAATACATGGAAACTAAATAATCTACTTCTGAATGACTTCATGACTACTGAAGAGATTAAGACTGAAATCAAAAGATTCATGGAAATAAATGATAATAAGTACACAAGTTTCCATAATTTATGGGACACTGTAAAAGCAGTCATAAAAGGGAAGTCCATAACAATTAGTACGCACAAGAAAAAGATAGAAAGGTGGCAAAAGGACAAGCTAACATCATGCCTCAGGGAATTGGAAAAATGACAACAGAAAAATAAAAAAGATGCCAGCAGAAAAAAAAAAATAAAGATTCAAGCAGAATGAATGAAATAGAAAGTAAGAAAACTATACAAAAAATAAATGAGATCAAAAGCTGGTTCTTTGACAAGATAAACAAGATTGAGACACCATTAGCTAGACTAATTAAGAAGAGAGAAAGGAACCAGATACATCAAAGTCACAATGAATAAGGCAACATTACAACAGACATAATAGAAATACAAAACATCATTAGAGGACTATGAGTGACTATAAGACAACAAAGAAGAAAATCTGAATGAGATGGACAAATTCCTGGGCACATACAATCTACCAAGATTGACTCAGGAGGACATAGAAAGCCTGAATAGACCTGTAACAAGCAATGAGATTGAATCAGTAATAAATAACCTCCCAACAAAGAAAAGTCCAGGTCCCGATGGTTTGACTGCTGAATTTTACAAAACTTTTAAAGACGAGATAACCCCCATTCTACTCACACTGTTTCTATAGATCCAAAAAAGGAAGGAGCCCTTCCAAATTCATTCCATGTAGCCTCCATTACCCTCCTCCCCAAAATGGATAAGGATACGACAAAAAAGGAAAACTACAGACCAATATTTCTGATGAATATAGATGCAAAAATTCTCAACAAGATAGTTGTTACCCATATTCAACAGCATATAAAAAAGGTTATTCATAATGACCAGGTAGGCTTTATTCCAAGGATGTAAGGGTGGTTCAACATATGCAAAACTGTAAATGTAATACACTGTATTAACAGAAAGAAAGATAAAAACCATATGATCATTTTAATTGATGCAGAAAAAGCATTTGACAAAATACAACATTCCTTTATGATTAAGACTCTCAGGAAAATTGGCATAGAAGGATCATTTCTCAGCATAATAAAAGCCATCTAGGAAAAACCTATAGCTAAACATTATACTGAATGGGTACAACTAAAAACTGGTACAAGACAAGGCTGCCC